GGCGGGCACTTAGAACTTGGGCGACCTAATAGAAAGAAAAATGTCTCTATAGTCTAACAGTATAAGTATAACTGTATAACAAATAAGATTTAGGGATTTAGGGCACGTCAAATGTATAGTACACAGATCCACATAGCACTAACTTTGATTGCTCGATCTCCAAACTTCCACCTCTAAGATGTTTCTAGGGACTAAAAAATCTTCTAAAAAACCTTCTAATAGATTTATAAAATATCCAAAACTGAATCTAATATCAATGGGTGATGTTTAGATCAATTTCTCGTAACTTTGAGAAACCCTTCGATCCTATGGAAATCACCAAAAACTAATTTTTTGGGGTTTTTCTCTCTCTAAAATAGGAAATGTCCTGCCCATTCATGTGATGTGGCGCAACTTTCCTCTTTATCCTCTTTCCTTATTTCTACTTTGGTCTTTCGCTTTTGCCATCCTTTTACCATTTGCTATGGATCCATCATGTTCGCAAGTTGTGCAACTTGACCTCTGGGATATTTTCCGTCAACATAGATGATAATTAAAAGCTGGAAATATTCATTTAAGTTTGCATAATTGGATTGTCATCTACACTCATAACGTGTGTCTGTTCTTGTCTACTCGAGATATTCCATTATCAAATCGACTTGTGTATGCAATTCATTGGACATAAGACATGTCGAGGGACTTGGGTTACTGCTGGCTACCAGTTTTCTATGTAAATCAGTAGAGAATAGATAAATAGTAGTTAAATTAATTTTATTGCTGCTGGACGATTATCCCTTCAGTTGATCCAGTGACATTTAAGCACATGATTTTAATCATTTCATTAAGAACCTATGACATCTCATGAGTTATGGAGTATAGAATGTACAACGACAAGCAGTACAAAATTGCAACATTGTAAATGACACCCTTCTTTTGTGAACCCCTTGAGTACCTTTTAAAGCATTAGAATGTTCTTCAGATCTAAATCTGTTGAATACATCTGCCAGTCTTTCATGATTGGTTACATATCACGTGTATTTGTTCAGCTGCTTGTAAATAACAATTGATCTCTATATGCTTTGTGTTGTGGTTTGGATTGGGAGTTTAGGGAATTGTGCTTAAATTTTTGCTTTGCATGATATGAGACCTTATTTTCACTTCTATAATCCTATTGACTACTGTATTGATGCTAATCCATATTTGGCCTCGATGCTAAACTATTTGGCCTCAATGCTAAACTATCTACCCGTCATTACTTTAGGAACTTTTGCTATCCAAATGCACATATATGCATATATTTGTGTCAAAATTTATAATTTATTCCGTTTGAAATTGAAACTATCGCAAGTTCGCAACATACCTTTTTATATACAAACATATCACATGTCTCAGCCTCTCAGGTTGAGAATAAACTTATTCAAAATTTTGAACCATACAAAACATTTAGGAGTCTAATAGGCTACTGTAAGGTCTCCAACTCTCATATTCTCCATATTCCATATCCACAAGGCATAAAATAAACCATAATAACATCCAAGTCGCCAACTCTCCAAGTCATCAACAAACTGACTTCCAAAACTATAAAAAAACCAGTGAACCACACAACGAAATAGTCCAAAAAGGCAAAAAAATTACAAATCACATAACTAAATAAAAATCGTTCAAACTCCAAATGTCTAAAGCTCAAACCAAGATGGTGCAATAAAGTATTAAAGTTACTTCAAAAGAGGAGAGTAGACAATCAAGACATCATTAAGTATCAGAATCATCATCTTCATTGCTTTCATCTGCATCAGAATTGAGACCGTCATCATCGGAATCATTACCCTCTTCAACATATTCCTCTTCTTTCAAAGATTCTTCTGAATCTGCCTCCTCTTCCTCTATCTCCCTCCGTGAAGTACCAGTCGAAGAAGTTGCTCCAGTGGTCCTCCTAGGATCAGAAGCTTGCCCCGAAACCTCCTCGACCATTTCCCATGTCAAACCCTCCCAAGGGAAGACCTCCTCAGTACCAGGTCACTAACTAGCCAATGTGAAGCATCTCCATGTGTTTCGAAAAGATAGGGTCCTTCTTTAGCTGGTTTTTCTTCTCCTCGAACTTTTGATTCTCTCTAACAAAAACCAAGTCATTGAGCTTCCTTTGCTCAAGCCTATTTCTTCTCTTTGTAGGCACCTATAAGGAAAAATAATGCATAAGTAACTACTATAGGTCTATGATCTTCTTACCTTTTATGAATCTATATTACAAACTGAATATGAACTTATAAACAAAAAAAACATATAAAATTTTTTTCCTTTAAAATAGTAAAATAGTAAAATACCATCTCAAACGAACTCCAATTGCTCTCACAACCAGAAGAGGTAGTTGTCAAACTCAAGATCCGCATAGCCATCGTCTGGAGGTTTGGAGTGCTACTCCCATGTTGTCTCCACCATTGGGCTGCAATATGTGGGCAACCTTTATAATTAATTTAGGAATTTAACATTATCAGAACTTGAAAGAAAATTATAAATTTATATTTTATAAAACAAAAGTACATAAGTCAAAAGAATATTACCTGGTTCGTCTTTGTTTCTTTGCCTTAATACCCTATCTTTCCCAAATGACATCAAAGAACACTTGTACGAAATTAGCTCTTCAGTTGATATCTTATCTTGGATATTTGGATCAGGAACTAATTTCTCAAGGCACTCATTAAAACCATCCATAATTACCCCTTTTGACTCAATATCTGCATCTGCATAAAAAAATTTGGAGTTCAAGTAGTACCCCGCTGCATGCAATGGTCTATGGAGCTGCCTATCCCATTTATCATCTATAATCTCCCAAATTGAGGTATACGTCGCTGCATCATTGCCCAAATTCTCTGCAATCTCATTCTTAACCCTTTCCATTGCATCATATATAAAGCCCATGGAGGGCTTATCAGCATCAACCAAGCGCAAGACCTTCACCAAGGGAAGAAATACTAATATATCATACTTCCCCCTACGCCAAAAATATTTCGAAAGAATAATATCTCGTGTCTTCCCTTGGCATCTCTAGATCACTTACACCTACTCCACTCCTCTGAAGCAAACATAGACCTTAATGCGATCCTCCTCTTATACATGCTTTGTAAACTAATGTAGGCAGTGGCAAATCTAGTGACCCCAGGCCTCACTTGGTCTCTCTCTTTTATGAACTTGTGCATCATGCTAAAGGTAAGTATGTGACTGTATATGAAGATTGGAACCTCCTTAGCCTTAAAAATAATTCCTTTAATAGGAGGCAATTCACCAATTTCCTCAAGCATAAGATCTACACAATGTGCATCGCAAGGAGTCTAAAATATGCGAGGCCTCTTTTGCCAAAGCAAATGACCTGCAGCTAGATTGGGAGCAGCATTATCTGTGACCGCTTGAATTACATGTTCTTCCCCAGCCTCCTCAATACCCTTATCAATGAAAGAAAATATATAATGCCCATTATGAACATCATTGGAAGCATCGATTGAGCATAAAAAAACTTTACCGGTGGGACAATTTACTAATAAATTCATGTTACTCCTCCTCCTCCTATCACTCCGCATATCTGTCATCAAAGAAACCCCAAATTTAGCCCATCCCTCCGTATGAGTCTTGAGATATTCATTAGTGTACTCGACTTCTTTCTTCAATAGTGGCTCTCCAATCTCATAAGGAGTTGGAGCTTTCAAACTTGGCCCAAATTGCCGAATTACTTCCAACATTGTATAGAAGCTATTCACCTTGGCTCTATCTTCCTTTTTGAACCTATTTTCAATTGTCACCTGTTTTTTCCCCTTTCCTTTACCTTTCTCAATTACTGTCTCAGGGGTAGGTGTAAAAAAACTATCTATAAGCCCCCTCGTACGAGCCTTCTTAGACCCAAAAACCCTCTTGGTCTTAGAGCTCTGTGTACCAACCATAGCTACCTCTTCTTCCCCCTCTTCATTATCCTCTTCTTCAGTTTCAATATTATCATAAAAAATATGAACCCTTGACTTTAATTCTGTTATATTCTTTTTTTTTGCAACTGTTTTACTCTTTTCAGTTTCAATGTACTCCAAAATTTCTTTTTTTACAAGATCTGAGACTTTCTTACATGGGGTGACATCACTTGTAATATTGGCAAGATGTTTCTTAAATCTATTTATGCCGGCATTAAAAACATGTCAATAGAAATTGCACATAATTTTATTTCTGTCATTCTTATCCAGGTTAACACAATATGTCTATCCCGGTTCTCCACCCGTAGTAGACCCCGTAGAAGACATCTCAAATTGAAAAAATAAATCTCAAATAAAGATTACAGACTGACCTTTTCTACCTCTGATCTTCGATGTTGGTTTTCTCAATCGAGCTACGAATCAACTTAAAAGTCTTCTAATACCACCAATAGCACCCTAAAAATAATTTCAATCAGAAAAACAAGCGTTTTCAATCCACAAGAAGTACTTTCGATTCTCAGCAATTGCTTTAGATTCTCATAAATAAGTTTAAGATTGAGGGTTTTTTGTTTTTTTTCAGTTTGGGGTTGAAAAATAAACCCCTAAACTTCTTTTATACAAACTTGGGTCAAAATGACCCCCTTTGCCCTTTTGGGGGAAGTTTTTTTTAAAAAACTCGTAAACCGTGCTAGGCGCCTGCCCAGGTACAGCCGCCTGTGTTGGGGCGTCCAGGTCAAGGCATGTGGAAATTTGTTTTTGGGCGCCTAGGCATCGGGAGGTCCGTTTTTTTAAACATTGACATTTTTTTGTACTTCTCATGCATGTTGGATCTCATTATTCTATTCCTTTGCAGCCATTCAAGTGTTCATATTTCTTATGATATATTTGATATTTTTTCTGTAAGCAAGCTTCATTTCTTGAGTGTTAGGTTTAGGAAATATATTTGATTTGTGAAGTCAATGAACACCATTATACCCTTAATATTTTCTGACGTGTTGCTATACATTAGTTTTTGACTTGTTGTATATATGGATATTGAATTTTATCAACTAAAGAATAATTTCTTTTCAGAAACTGGCAATCCATTTTTTGAGCAATGGTATTGCTCCCTTAAAGCTTGATGCAGCTAATCAGGCAAAGGTTGTAAAATTTTCCGAGTCTATGTGGAAGTTAACATATTATGCTACAGTTGAAATTTGCATCCTCTCAATGATTTATCAAGAGCCATGGTTCACAGATAGGAAACAATTTTTCGAGGGATGGCCTAATCAAGAACTCAAGTAAGTAATCCTCCTTTTATATGTTTTATTAAATGATGGACAGCATTACAAGACTAAAATTGAATTCTTGATGCATATATCATCATGATATCATGACAACATTTTTTTTTGAGAATATTCACTTGTTTTTCAATAAAAACGAGTGATCATGATAGGCAACATTCCGAGACTAAAGCTGAATTCTAGATGCATATATCATCATGATGGACAGCATTCTGAGACTAGAATAACTTCAATTCGACATGCTTTTCTCCATTGCCTAAGTGCAATTTCCTCTTCATCTCAATGCCCAAAATATACACTTTTTAAAATTGTCATCCAAAAAAGGTTGAGATGTGCACTCGAGTAGTTTTAGTTTGCATGGCTTTTGACTTATCTGCAGTTGATTTTTTTAGGATTTGGAAGCGTTAGTTCTTTCTTGGATGCTGGAGCTTCCTGGACTTCTAAACATTACCAAGCAGAATTTATTGCCAAAAGGGACTTATTGTGTGGTTGTGCATGCATTCCTGGAGAAACAAATGATGTGTTTGTATATGTGGATATGTTTGTTTATTTATTTTATATGTTTTCATGTGTGTATATCTGCGCAGGGATGTATACAATAAACACAATTATGGATATGCTATATAGATAACATACAAACATGAATTATATATATATATATCCCCAAGATTTTAAATGAGGTTACACTATCATTATGGATTTTTCAAATGGAAATTGAGTTATGTGTCAGAGTTTAGTTCATGGAAAATTGACGTATGGTTGTAGGAGTATGGAGTTTTATGTAAGGTTGCTTAGAATGTTGATGCTTGATGAGTTTTATGAAGAATACAGCTTGTAGTTGAAAAGAAGATCTAGGAGAATTTATAAAGCTTAGGGGTGGGGATAGAGCTTTGGGAGAGTACCTGCTTTTTTCTGATTGTTGATGACATCCTTTGATTTTAGCCATTCTGTGAAAGAGGGTCTAATAGTTATTAGTTAATGATTTATATGGGGTGCATCTTTAGCTGGATGTCTTCCCATCCAAAAGAAAATTGGAAATATCATTCTTAGCCTGCATGAAGTAAGGTACATTGAAGAATGAGAACTCATGAATCCATTGTTGGTTTCCACAAATCATATATAGTGAAGATGGATATTTGGGACAAGGAACACTTTATAGAGATAATTCTCATGGATGTGATATTTTAAAGTATGAGTCAACCATTAGCCAGGGTTAGAAGGAAGAACAATGAAAGATTGATTTAGAAACTTCTGGCCTTCAAGAGTCTAAGTGAAGACTAGGGTGAAAGCTAAATGGTTTGCCTTTTGTAGTGGATGTTGTAGTTTAATATTATCTGTTATCTCTACATGTAAGCGAGGCCTTAAAGGTCATTAGGGTCATTCATGAAATGTGCGGATGATCAGTTACTATGTTGTATGGTGTGATTAATGGAGGTTACCACTTTGTATGCTGCACAAAGATTTAAAAAACGGGTGACCAGTCTGTTGCAATCCAATTTTGACTGCCCATATTATCAGAAGAAAAGTAATTATAAAAATTTTAAAAACATTAATAAAAATTTGTAATCAATCTTGAGCTGCAAATTAGGCATTTCTTTATTTCAAATTTCGTTAAATTGTGTTTTGTTTGGGAATTGTGATTGACCAACTGGCAACATGATCAATTATCATTGTTGTCTAGGGGTATTTAATTACTTTGATTTGGTTAGCAATTTGTTGGTGGTAGTGTTGTGGTGGTAGTTGATGTGATGGTGTGAAGGTGGGGGTAGTGATTGCTGTAGCGGAAGGATGATGGTGGTGTGGTAGTGGTGGTGGTGGAGGTGGTCGTGGCAGAGTGCTTGTGCTGATGCAGTGGTGTTGATAGAGGTGGATTTATGGTTGTGGTGCTGGTGGCAGAGGTGGTGGTGGTGTAGTGATGGTGGAGGTGGTGATTGAGTTTTGTTAGACCAGGTGATGGAGTTGTGCTGGGTGGGTGGAGCAGTGGTGGCTGTGGTGGTGGAGCGGGTGATGTAGTGGTGGTGGTGTAGTGATGTGGTTTTGGCAAGAGAGAGAGAGAGAGATTGGATTTTTTTGAAAAATTACTCCAAGTGGTTTTTGCGAAAAAATCCAATTTGGGAATTATCTTTTGGGCTATAAACCATGAAGATCTTGGGTGCTTCTCCATGGGGACATTTTGAAAACAGGAGGCGTATTTTGTTTTCAAAACCCATGCATGTCACTTGAGCTGCCTGCTGGTCCTCCCAGATCCACACACACACCCACTGGTGCTTATTAGGAGTTGAATTTTGAGGGTTGCTTTCTCTGCAAGCCTGGGCTTGCTGGGGTTGGTGGCGCGTGTTGAGACAGCCAAGTGCAGGTACTACTTTCTTTCTCAGGCCCCACTGGGTTAGCATAACCCTAACTCTGCCAATGCCTGAGCCTTGCTAAAAGGCTTAAAAGTTGTTCAATAGAAGCTAGGCCACTGTTATTATCATCGTAGGGATTTTCTAAATGTGGTCCCTTGGGCGACAAGCCAGACTTGGTGCCATGGAGACTCCAACCTGTTTATTGACCAAAGACAAACTTTCACTTCTTCATGGCTTTTCTCATTCAAGCATGTTTGCAGAGAGGTAAATGATTTGGCGGACAGCCTGACAAAACAGGTTGCAGTGTGCTCTCGCTTTGAAATCCACATAGGCCTGCTCAATGCTTCCCAACGCTCATGATGATTTCCTCAATCTGGATGTTGATGACTCTGCATCTGCACCCCCACTACACGGCCTCCTCTCGCTCCAATCTCTCTTTCCCTTCCTTTCTTAATACATCCCATTGTATTTTTCTGGGTGACGTGCTTCTAATTCTTGTTCAGGGATGCCTGATTAAAGACAACTTCATTCCGCTCTTTTCTTTTCTTCGCTTTCCCCTACTTCATGGCCCTTTGCCTACCCTCTATGTTTTAAACAGCAGGGTGGGGACATCTTCCTTTTATTTTATTTTATTTTATTTTTTTAATGAAACTGCGTTTTTCATAAGCTGCAAATTCTATATTAATACTATACCATCAACTCTTATCTTCTAAAAGGTGTAAATTAGAGAAATAAATAGAAACTTAAAAAATAGAACAAGAATAAAACATCTTGAACAATATAAACTAGAGAGTATAATTCGGAGTATATAAATAAAATGAAAACTTAAAAAATTGTAGAACTAAAATAGTAATTCATGCTAAAACAACTAGATAACTCTAAGGGATGAGTATCTATGTCAGAAAGGAATCGAGAAATAGGAGGAATAGAAGATACAAGATTAGATAAAACTTTAGATAAAAGCTTAAACAACTAATGAGGTTGTAATTTTGCATAACTAAAAATAAAAAATAAAATAAAAATAAAATACATTGATTTTTCATATATTTGAAATTACATTGATTTTCATTCAAATTAAATGGTGCAATTTTAATTTATATATTTTATTGATCAACTAAAGCATCATACACTGTTTGTGCCATAATGGGGATAAGTGTAAATCAGGTTGCACTAGAAAGGGATCACAAGCTGAGTTGTATATATTGAAGGAAATTTCTCGGGGTGGGGAGGGCCTGTTGGGTTTTGTGGCCGTTAAAGGCCTGGAGAGCTTGTTAAAATGATATGCAGTGTTCCAAAAAGTGGACCACCCAGCGCCTCAGCGGATCTGGGGGTTGGGCGCATCGCCCAGGCCTAGGCGCCCTAAAACGCGGTGGTCCCTAGGCGCCCACCTAGGCACCTAGGAAACCACCTAGGCGGCTGCCCAGCACCCTGCCCATTGGTAGAAATTGCTTTTGGTGGGGGCATTTTTGGTCCATTGTTTTTGTACTAAAGGGCAAAAAATGGGGGTTTTAGGTCCATTTGAAACATAAAACTTATTGGAGCCTATTTTAGAGGGTTTCTCAAAGTTATGAGAAATTGATCAAAACATCACCCATTGATATTAGATTTAAATTTTGATGTTTTATAAATCTATAGGGGGGTTTTTAGAAGATTTTGAGTCCTTAGAAGCATCTTTGAGGTTGAAGTTTGGAGATTGAGCAATCAAACTCAAAGTAAGTGATTTTTTTTATTGCATGTATAAATTGCATTATTTTGAGATGTCTTGTTCGCGTTCTAATAGGAGTGGTGATCCCGGTTGGAAATATGGCTACAACCCAGATCTTAATGATTACCAAAAGGGGTATAAACCGGTTCAAGAAATATCTTGTCAGTATCAGGGGAAATGCTGCCCCATGTAAAAAGACTCTTGATGCTGTTAAAAAGGAAATAACCAATTTTTTTAATATGGTAAAAGTAACAAAAGGTGAGAGATTTGCCTCCATTGCGGAGATTAGGTTTGGGGTTTGGGTCAATAATGATGATGATGATAGTTATGAGGATGGGATTGGGGAGGGTTGTCAGGAGGTAGAAGTAGAACAATCCATTATTAGGGGAAAGGGAAAGGGAGTTGTAATTACTTCTGGTTCTGGTTCTGGTTATGGGAGTAAGAAGCCTCATGTTAGAGGCCTTATGGATAGTTTTTTGCCTCAGCCTGACTCTGAGGTTACAAGAGAGAAAACAAAGAAGCAAACCACCATTGAAGATAGAATAAAGAAGGAAGAGAGAGATAGAACTGCTTATTATCTTGCTACATTGTTTTATGAGATGAGTATTCCTTTCAATACCACGTGCTTAAGCAGCTTCTATGCCGCGGTAGAGGCACTTGGTCAATTTGGGTCTGGGATGAAACCTCCAACCCCATATGAGCTTTTAGAGCCTTTTTTGAAAAAAGCGGTGAGTGTCACAAAGGAAGCTGTAGAAGTTAAGAAGGATGCATGAGCTCAGTTTGGGGTTTCTATTATGGCTGATGCTTGGAGTGATAGGAAGAGAAGAAGTTAGATGAATTTGCTTGTGAATTGTCCTTTAGGGACTGTTTTTTTGAGGTCTATTGATGCCTTTGATCATATCTATGATGTCCATTGCATATTCCAAGTTTTAGAGAAGGGAATCAAG